AGTAACTGTCCTGTACCATTAGAAATACAATGGAAGAAAACATGTGATTATTATGAAACATTTGTGTCAGATGATGAAAAATATTTATTATGAATTTTGCAAGATTTACAAATGAAAAGCTGAAAAATAGAGGAGTCATTTATTTCAACTTTTACAAGATGAGTTCAAGATCTTCTTCTATTTAGGGGGATTTTTTATTGTAGGGAGGTCTTGTAATATGTCCACCCCTTTATGACTATGCTCCACATGATCATGTACATAATTAACCTTCTCGTATCGTGCATGATATTTCTCATAAGTTCCATCTCACGTCAATACATTCGAGGACTTCGATTACACACAGCCAAAGCTTTTGTTTTTGCTATTCATCAGAAAATCTTGTTTGTAAATTATTGGAAATTTTTATTCAGAAACATACGCAAAGATTTTATTTTCTCATCGTTGTACTCTTCTTTCTCTCCCAGGAAACAAGATGTCACTGTCGTGTGGTTAAGGAAGGCGAAGAACAAACTGAATGGTGACATCGTTTATGTGAAAACTCTCTATTGAAATGTTATTATTAAGCTGCAAAAAAATGCCCTAAACTCAGGAATTAACTCGATGGTATCGATATACTCTCTCTTGTTCTCAGGGTTGTTATGGTGCATCATTAGTACTACTACACCAGTTAATGAGAAAATAAACTCCTAATTGATATTTACACATATATTTCTGTTTTAAGTATAACTGTCTAACAACTATCTTCGAGCCCGACTTTATAAAAATCATATATTTTTTTTCATTAGATGATGACGACTTGAATAATCATTACCTGACTACGGTAAACAAAATAATCTAATAATTAATAATATTATAATTATTTTTACACGCATATTAGGCATATTATATTATTAATTATTACTTCAACCAAAAATCATAAGTCAATATCGTTGCAACAATGTTTTAGTCATCTTAATGAGGATTGAAGAGAATCAACTGTTATACAAATCTCAAACAAAACGCAAAGAAGAATCATTTTTTTTATCAAATCTCGAATTTCTCATTAGCAGAGATGTCTGTGTTAGGACCTTATCAGACAATTTTTCTTTAACAAAAGTATGTTGATATCTAATTCCTCTTTTTATTCTCAATAAGCCATATCTTCCACTTGTTTACATATCACTTAAGGTAGACCGAATATAGAAACAATGTACAGTCTGATTACTACTAACAACCAAACAGAAGATAATTTTTATACTAGCCTCTGGTTGATTTACATTTCTCTTTCCTCACCTCTGGTTATGTACTATCTACGCATGTGTCTATCTATTGGTAAAATTAGCCTTAAGACAACAGTTAAGAAAGACACAAAACAAGTACTTTATTTTTTAGATGCGGGTGGGGGTGATCATTTTCTTCTATACACACTGTCCGATGCCCTTTCTTCTCATACATATATATAAATATATATATATATATATGCACTGAACTTAAAAAGAAAGAGCTCTATCTGTTTTATGTAGATGAGAAGACAAAGAAGTTCAGAAGGAAAAGAAGAAAGAAGAAAAAAGGTTGGAAAAAATGACAGAAGAAGATGAACTTAACCATAAAAGATTTCTATTTTTTTATAATGTGACAACGATTATCTTAGCGGAACTTATTAGCTATGTTATTTATAACATTCATTTTTCATAGACTATGTATAGACAAGTATGTATAGAGTAGACAACGATTTTTTATGTACATCAAATAATTTACATTACATTAATATCTCAGTGGTGTGTTTCCTTACGAATGTAAAATAAAGTTAGTTCAAAATATATTGATTATAGTTGCCTAATGATTGTTTGAGAAAACTTATTTATCTAGCACTTGTTATTCTGATCAATCTGAAAACATTTGCGAGAACTTGAACAAGAATTTTTTTACGACAGATGCACACTGTTTGTTAAAACACTGAGAAAATAAGATTAATCATTTTTCTTTCTAGAAAAGATCATTTCTTAAAAGATGTTCATTTGTGCATCATGACTCTCTCTCTCTCTTTCGTGTTCTTTCTCTTGAAACCACAGATAATTGTTTGCGCAATTAATTCATTCTAGTATGAAAAAAATTTATGTGAATGAATGTGGTTGAACGTGTCTTGTTTGTGTTTATTATATGCTGAGGTTCAATGAATATAGAGAAAAAATTGTAAAATTTTTCTTTTTTTTCTTTCTCTTTCAATCAAATCAACGATTTTCTTTTGCTGAATGTGTATCTATAAATAATCGTCTCGAGAACTCAGATCATCATAAGAATAAGAACATTGACTTAAAACCACACACACACACACATGCAAGGGTAACCTGGATAAAATTTTTTATTTTTTTAATGTTTTTCTTTTCTTTTCTTTAAATTGTTTTTCTTACTTTAACATGGATAGACATGAAGTAAACATATAATTTGTGGGCGGCATATAATAGTGACAGAGAGACAATTAGTGCAATACAACATTTATTATGCTTGTACTCCATGACAGAACTCTACCGGAAGGAGTAAGGTTGATGTCAAAAAAAGAAAAAACGGATGTCACTTGAGCTTTGCATTTTTTATTGATGGTTTATTTTTCTCAATAGACTCAAAGAATATAAGTATCTAAGACATGTACACAGTAGAAAAATAATTGCTTGCATGTTTGATCATTTATCCACAATGGCAAAAGTCGATTTAATTCCATATCTGTATTCAATAGTCGGTCAGAATAAAAATGTTTTTTCTTCTTCTTCATTTCTACAATAAAAAACTTAACAATGAAGACTGTTAAAAATAAAGCGATAGATAATTTGTCTTTGTATTAATATTTGATGAACTACCGAGTCTCATTTTCAGCTTAAAACGAACAAAAAGATTGATTAAAATCAAAAATCTAGTTGTCCGAGACAAATCCTATAGTCATAGTGATGATCGATGTTAGAATGATGTATTGATATATATGTATAATAAAACATACGGTTGATTGCGTCTCTATACTAGGATAATGTTTTATGTGAAGCTCAAAAAAAGATCGTCTGCTAAAGACACACATCATCACCTCAAAGAAACATCATCAAATATTTACGGATCACTTATTTGTTTCCTCTATATTTTTATTCGATTAGACATCGAGGACTGTAAATGAACACGAACATGAACAATTGTGATTATAGAAAAGTAAACGTTACTAATGAACCATTTTCAAAATCTTTAAAAACGGTTTATAATAGCAGCTTAAAAGTGATCTTTCGGATGAAAAGAATTTTATTTTTACTTTTTATTATCGTTGAGCAAAACAATGAAATAACATGTTTGTTCAATGTTTATTTCAAGAAAAATAACATTTTGTTTCCTTGTTTGATAAAAGTGTTGATTTTCATTTTACTATTTAATTAGAAGGAATGAATAATGAGGAAAAGAAAAATGAAGAGACATCGTTGATTTTTGTTTGTTTTATTACATGTTACAATAATATTTTTACTATGAACAACACAATGAAGTTAACACTAAACAGGGGCAACTACTAAAACTTTTATACTAGTGAATTGTGAGTCTTTTTTTCTGTTTTAAATATATACATCTTTTGTTTTCACTAGGGAAATAAGTATTTCATTTTTTTTTCATTGAATAATTTCCGAAATTTTTAATGTTTCTGAGTGTTCAACTAAATCGAACATTTTTATAGATATTTCAACGACAAAGTAAGATAGACAAGAAACAGTTGAACTATTATGCATAAAACTCTCGATTTCATTTTGTTTCAATAGTCAAAAACTGATCGAATAATTTTAATTATGATGAGAAAATATGAATCAAAGAATTATAATCTAAACTGATTTCAAATAAAAAGCTTTCAATATTTGAAGGTTTAATTGTTTGTTAGAAATATAAATGAGTTTTATGTCTGTGAGAAGTTTTAATAAGAAATAATTATTTCATTCTATTGAGAATAGAACGATTGCATAAATTATTTAATACATAGTTCATCTAATATTCTTTTGTCTATTTCTTATTTTGACTCCTCTGTGTGATTATATGTCTCGTTTGTAAAGACAATATGTTCACATTTTGTTTTTAAACAAAAGACTTTAATAAAGACAATAGAAAAAATCTCTCCTTTTTTTTTTGTTTCATTTTTATCAGATTTCTTTCCTAAAAAAATCATTGATGACATGCCTCACTTTCATATATAGAGATAAAGAAAGAAAGAGAGAGAAAAAGAGAGCAAACTTCAGTGATTTTTCTTTTATTTTCGGTCATGTTGATACCTGTACGTGAGAGCGGAAATAATTTATTAACAAAAGACGAGAAAAACGGTATTTGTATCGTTATTATTATTCTTATTATTGGTGACACACGTCTTGCGGTAAAGTAGTGCTACTATCCTAATACATTTTAAAAAAAAAAAAAAAAGCAGGAAATTAATAATGAATATAAAGTAATAAAAATTAATTATGTCAAAAAATTTTCTTAGATTTTTTTCTTTTTTTTTTTGTGAAAGAAAAGAAGAAGAGTACGCCATTTTGTCTTAAATAATATATTTTTTAAGATAAAATAAAATGAACTTGACACAGTCATGCCAGAAGGAGAAAAAAAAAAAAGAATAATGTCAAAAAAGAAAAAAATTGTTCAGGAATTTCGAAAGTGCATTTTGATTATCAATGTCTATATGTTCTAAGATCGTTTTATAATTATAATTTTTCTTTTTAATTGAAAAATACATATATGTAGATGATTTTGTTGATATCATTCAATTTTTTCTAGAATATGTGCAATTATTGACCTTGAATTTATGAAAGTTTAACGTAATAATTTATTAATCGTCACTGTACTATACTTTTTTATTTTTTAGACTTATTTATTGTTATGTACTATAGAATGACTATTTAATTAATCAACAATCAATTAATTAATGTATTTATGACATGTTAATATTTTCCATCTATTTAATATTAATATTTTGTCATATATTATTAGCAACAGAATACGATTTCAATAATAGAAAAATGGAAACAACAAAGTTAAATTATCAAAATGATTTAGAACCACGTGTATTTGATTATATACCGTCCGATTGTTATGAATGTTTAAGTTATCGTGACATTATTATTACACAATTAAATGATATACCAATGAATTCATTTGAAAAATTTCATTTTGGACCATTTGATACTTATTTACTTTTAAATGGTCAATTAAAATTAACATTAAAATCATTTGCATTTAATAATTTTATAATAAATAAACCAAATCATACAATGTTTATTACAATGTCAGCACCAAATTCTTGGTTAAATATTACAAATGAAACATTTAATGGTTTAGATATTCGATCATATTCAACATTAAAATTAATAATTAAATATTTTTATGGTATTACATTTTATTCACAATCACTTAATGGAATTAAAATGGGAAAACAATCAAAATTAATTATTGAAATATCATCTGTTACACAAGTACACTTTTTATCTAATATTTTTGGTAATAAATCAAATTTATCATCACATAATTCATCATATGAAATTCATATATTACGTACAGATACTATATTATTTAATGAAAACAGTTTTTCATCAATTCAATTATATGATTATCAAAAATTAATAATTAATTTAGAATTAATATCATTAATACATTTAAAAAAATATTCATTTTCTAATTTAATATTAAATTCTTATTCATTATTTAAAATTAATTCTATTTTTATTAATAGATTTACAATTGATTCTTATGCATTTTCTGATATAATTTTAGATCGACATTCAAAATATAATTTAACAATTAAAATTCTTGGTATGATATATTAGTTATAATTATTAATCTTAGATTTCATATTTTTTTTGTTTTTGTTTTGTATTTTTAGGTACATGTATATGTTTAACATCTTATTCATTTTCTAATTTAATATTAAAACCATTTTCAATATTTTATACAGGATTTAATAATGTTCGTGGTATATCACTATTTTCTTATTCATTTTTTAATTTACAATTAAATATAAATTCAAAATTAATTATAGAATCAAATAATCCAGTAAATGATCCAAATCCAATTATTAATATTGCATCAAATACATTTATGAATAATATTGGTACAACATTATTAAAAAATGAGGGTACAATTAATTTTAATTTTAACTATGTAACATTAAATCGTTATGATATTGATTCATTACAAATGAATTTTATCTATATAATTAAATTAAAAGATATTGGATTATTAGATTTAAGTAATTTAACAACAACTGTATATCAAATAAAAAAGTTAACTATATTATTTAATGGTGTTAGATACGTTAAATGGCCATTAGAACAAATATCATTAACGAAAAAATTAACTAGTCATTCATTGAACAGGTAATAGTTAACTATTTAAAATTTTGAAATTAAATTTATATTTTATTCTTAAAAATGTTGACCTTTTTTTTTTTTTGTGTTTTTATTTTTATTTCTTTCTTTTTAGCGAACAAGTTGATACAAATAAATTACAATATCATCATGAATTTCCTCCTAATGAACGATCGATTCAATTTTATTTTAATTATGTATCAAATCAGAGTTGTATTCTTTATGATGCTCCATCTGATATTCCATGGTATTTTCTATCGAATTCATCATGTAATTGTCCATTGTTATTCGCTTATAAACATGGTAAATTAGATGGTCAAACAATTGATTGTATTAGAAAACAGAGTGGAAAAGAGAGTGTATTAGCTATGAATGAATGTAAATTTGATAGAGTAAAAGAATTATGTACTGATATATTTGAATTATTTAGTCAAGCAACAAAATATTATAATAGTGATGATCAGAATAATTCAGCTATAGTTCAACAGCCACTATCACGATGGGAATACTCTAAAACATGGCAAACACGACAAAAATGGATGGATAAAGATTTATCTGACACATATTTAAATCCCATTGTACTTCGACAATTAGTTGATATAAATTATTTAAAATGTAATATAAATTTTTCATATACATCGTCCATTATTATACGAACAAGATTAGGTAATTTAGGATTAGTTATTGGAATTATTATTGGTGTATTCGTTTTATTATTGATTATTGTTATGGCACTATTAAACGGTGTACAATATAAAATGCGTGAATATGATCCTGAATGGACCTATAGACGAAATATGTCATGGACATCATTAAGACGAACATTATCACAAACATCGTTAAGAAGATCACGACGAGATTTAAGAATTAATGGAACAATTATTAATGAATCTGGTACGGATGATAGAAGAATTTCAAGATCAGACAATCAATTGGATTGTTTACAATATCATAATGATGAACAATCTCAACCATTTGAGATTCAAAATTGTCAACGTTCACATCGAAATAAAACAGTTAAAAATGAAATAGTTGATGATGATGAAACAGAAGTCACGTGTGAACCATTAGATATTGATACGAAGAGGACGTCAAAACGTTAATTTAATATTCAATTTAGTCTTCTTTAATCGTGATATTTTTAGATTTGTTTTGTTTTTTCCATGTTTTTAATGTTAAAAAAATAGAGGTTTTTTTTAAAAAGAAGATAAATGTCTTGATATTCGTAGATAAAAGAAAACAACTGGCATTCAACTAAAATATGAATATTCTGTATTTGGTGTATGGGTACCATTACATTACCATGACTTCATCCATTAATCGATATCGACTTATTTTGTAGAGTAGAAAAAATATCGATCGTAACATGGCCTAGAATTGATACTTTAACATTTCAGTCGTGTCATAAAATTAATATAAATGATGATTGTTGTGAGAATTAATCAGTTTTATCGATTTTTTACATTCTTATTCTGTTAATTCATGATGTAATGAGATTGATTACACGTTATTAATTTCACCGTTGCATTAGGAATTAATAGAATAAGAACGTAAAAATTATTATGGTTTTCTGTTGAAATACACGATTCTATCTCATATTCTGTTATCATCCTGTTCATTCTCTGCTAATATGTTTTATTATTTACATTTCTCTATTTAATAGGTTTTTTTTCAGATGTGCATGAATAATCATCAAGTTATACGTACATTGCTGACTAAATATTTGTGAACTTTTTCGAAGTACTCGAACAAGTTAGCAGATTTTATCTAATAGAAATCAAAATGATAGGATCTGATCTGTGGATGAGATGTGGGTAAACTTCATCTCTCAAATTTGAAATAAGTATTGTGAACATAAACTTTGACAGGACAGATCACAACACGTTTGTGATTGTAGATGTTGTATTGCAAGGAACAGAAAAATAGTTTTGTTCATAAAAAATCCTAAAGATGAATAATTTTATTTAAAATACAAATCTGTTCGCATAGCTCTCATCCATCAAACACTAAAAATAACAGAATTATGTTGATTTTCAATGCAAATTAGAGAGATTTATGAAAAAGCATAAAAAGTTTAAGAAACATAGAAAGACAAAAAACTATCAATATAAAAAATTTATCATAGACATAAAATATAGATTTAATCTCGAATATATTTGTGGAATTAGCAAGCGCTCACAACAAACGAATATAATAAAAGATAATGTAGTTTGGGACAAAATTAAGCAATTAAGTGATCATCATACGAATTTGCAAGATCAATATATGGTATGTAATGAACAACGATCCAAGTTAGTAAAGACACTATCGAATGATGATCAAATGTTTGTACAATGACGTTATCTCCTTTTGCGCCTGAGTTTTTCCCTAGTGTATATCAGGATAAGCGTTCGATATGTATCTGGCGCTCTTACTCACTAAGCCTTTTTTTATCAAAAAATGATCTTTCTCTTCTAACTAATATTGTAAATGAATGGTCCTCGTTTCCCACCCTATTGAGTTGCTGTTTATATTAGAAATCATATGTGAAGGATAATACGTCATCTATGCTTACGGATCTGAATGTTCTTTTGTTTAATGTGAGAGGGTTATCGGAACGGTGGCACGAGGTTTTTCTTTATTTTGATAAGTATAAGATGGATTTTTTGATCTTAGTTGAAGTTGGCTCGATTGATCTTAATTTTCTTTCAACCATATTTGCGAACTATAAATTCTTTTATTAAGCGGGTGAAAATTAGTTGGGGGTGGTGTGATCATTGTTTATCAAATACTCATCAACTGTAAGCGTGTACAGTGTGATATACCTAATGTCTGTGTGGTAGATGTTTCCCTTGGCCAGGATATTACGTTAGTAGCAGTTTACGCTCCAGAAAGTAAAACGTGGAGATGGAAAGACCTCTCACCTTTTATTTCATCGAATTGTTGTGTTTTGGGTGACTTCAACGTTGATATGGAGGATTCAAAGGATAAGGGTATTGAAATGCTTATTGATTGGGCAGATAGATGTTGTTTAGCAGCAGAAATACCAGATATTCCTACCTCCTTAAGGTCAGAGAGGAAAATAGACTATGTGTTTGTCAAAGGAATTCCAGGTACAGTGCAAACTTGTGAAGTTGGCACTACTAGTGATCATTTACCCGTATTAGTGATTCTATCTTGTGAGAGAAGGGAGCGGAGTTTAGGTACTAAAGTCCATTGAAAAGTTTATAATTATTTTTTGTCATTTGTGGCTGATTTCTGGGAAGAGTACTGGAGGATTTCATCAGTTGAGGATGGACATTCTCATTTTGTCTCCTTTTTATCATTGTTACAAGCTCGTTGCACTTCCTATTTTCCTTTGGATAAATACCGCGTTGCTTTATCAACAGAGCTAAGACAAAAGTTATCCTATGTACGAGCGCTATCACTTAAAGGTAAAAGAACAGGAGATTTAAATATAAAAATTAAAGCCAAACAACTTAAGAAAGAGGCCAGAATTGAACTCCGTTTATTTTTGTCTAAACATCTAGAGCAATCTTTAAAAGAAAGATTTACGGATTCAAAAGTATCAGTGTCATTTTGGTCTAAAATTAAACGCAACTTTAAAGCCTCACCCTCTTTGAAAGGTTTTTCCGATGAGAATGGAGTAGTGTTTAGGGAAACTGACGAGATGTTAGAGAAGGCAGCAGATTATTACGAAAAATTATTTGAAAAACAAGAGGTAGTTAGACCTCGCCCATATGTAGACCCACCGAGAGTTGTCTGGGATAACACTGATGATAATATACCATGTATTACTCTAAAAGAACTTCTTAAAGTCGTTAAAAGCAGGAAAAAGAAATTATCTTGCGATGCTTAAGAAATTTCGACTTTTATCTTCCAATTTTTGCCTACTATCTATTGAATTGGTCTTTTGAGAGTTTTCAATTTGTCATTATCAACCTTTGTGGGTCCTTCTTACTGGAAACCTGTGAGAATGAAACTACTTGCCAAAAAGAATCGATTTGTCAGTAGCTGACACTCGTCCGATCTCATTGTTAGATGTTTTTTTAAAGGTCCTAGAGCGGTTGTTTTTGGTAAGGTTTCAAAAGATTCTGGAGAATCGCGGCATTTTAGATAATTCTCAGTTGGGATTTAGACCAGGTTTTCGTCTTCAAACTAGAGTGCTATCTATGCTAGACCAAATTTATTCCTATATGAGTAATAGTTCTCCCGTTTGCACTATTTTTGTTGATTTTAAGACAGCTTTTGACCAATTGTGGTGGATTGGCTGCCTAGAAAAACTAGATAGCCTTGGTGTTCCTAAAGCGTATGTCGCGTGGATTAAGTTTTGGCTTGAAGGACGAATAGCCTTTATCGAGATGAATGGAACGCGTTCAAGATATTTTCATATTGAAAGACGGGCTCCCCAAGGATCATGCTTCTCTCCTACTCTGTTTATAACCTATCATTCAGATCTATGGACTTTTCTTATCAAGAGTTTGCAAAATAATTTTACGGATGATTTAGCTGGTGTTGTAGCTGGTATGATAGGCGTGAAATTCACTGCACAATGTATTGATCTGGAAAAAAGGGTTACTGATTTCTTTCAGCAACTAGAATTCTATGCAAACTTAGCTATACAACCTATTAAGTATAAAAAGACAGAGTTGTTATGATCAGCATGTGCACTGGGCAAGCCTAAATTTGACATATTATGTGATGGTTATAAAATTAATTGGACTAATACCTTTAAGTACCTAGGGTATTGGGTTACAACAAGATTAGGTTGGGGTTGCATGATTGCTAAGACTAAAGCTAAGATTAGGAAACAGATGGCTATAATTGATTCCTGTCGTGTCTTTGGTTCGACGACTAACTATTTTAGGCGTGGCTTATTTACTACGTTTGTTCTCCCTATATTTACGTGGCTTTTTGCTGTTTTTCCCCTATTCACGCCTTGTCAACAACAGGACCTGACGCATTTTTACTATATCTGCCTTAAAAGGATTTATCATGTTACACAATTAAACGACATTCTCTTTTGTCATTATTATGATGAAATTTCGTTAGAGGATAGATGTACTAAGTATTGGAAAAGGTTTATGGACGCACTACTTGTTTCTGTAGATGGTGATATACTAATGGAGTCAGCTTTCTTAAACGTATTTAGAGAACAATGGCTCAATAAGAATTATAGCATTACAAAAATTTTTCGTTCTAAATGATTTGTAGCACATATTTGTCAGATGTGCTCAGTGGCTAGAAAACAGTATCGAATGTTCGCTACCTGACTTAGACGAGGATGATCTTGAACTACTTGAATTTTGCCCTAAACCCTTTTTATAGTTCAATTATATTCAAGTAGTTTTTTGGTGAACCACTTGAAAAGTAGTTGAATATTCATCACTATAGAAAATCCTTTTTATAAAAGTAATTATATATTCTGATAGCGCCTAAAATTCTCTATCATCCTATATATTTATGTCTTGTCTTACATTTATTTGCTGAAAAATAATTTGAGTACAGCGAAGGTACTCCCAATTGACAAGTACCAAAAATGTGCATTCTTTCGCTACTTTTTTAGTTTTTTCCACACCATCTGTTCTAAAAGATTTTTTTACAGACCACGAGAAAGAGCACATTCAGAAGTACAACAATAACTGACTTCTCACTTTTGTAACTCTTTTTTTACAGAAATAGTAGCAAAAGAAAAAGGTTCAGGTGGAAAAAAATAACAGATTTTCAAAGTTTTCAGTTTTCGTCTTTCGTATAATCTGCGTAGTTTTCTTGATTGAAACTCTAAAATTAAAGGTTAGGTATGATTTTGTAGAGCGTTTCGCTGCGCATCTTTTTAAAAAAACATTAACCTTTGGGTCCTAAAGAAATACGAGAAAAATAGAAAATATTGAGATGCCACACTCATTACAATTTCTGGGAATCTGACGATGAGGGGACCGTCATTGTACTCGATGTATTTTTCAGCAAACAAATGCAAGACCAGATTTAAATATACCGAATTGTAGAGAATTCCAAGCGCTATCAGAATATATGATCATTTTTGTAAAAGTATATTTTCGTAAGGAAAATATCTTAAAAATACTGTGTGCAACTATTTTTTTGCAACTATTTTTTTGCAACTATTTTTTTGCAACTATTTTTTTCGAGGATATATTGTCTCTGATTAAAAAGTCGTATCCAATAACAGGAAAATATTGTATTAATTTTAAATATGTTTATCAATAAGCAGAAAGAGGAAGTAATTTATCGATGAAAAGTTTTAGTCTCGATTCGCCCCTAGCTGATTTCTCAATCCGTCCCTCATATGCACGCATAGGCTAAATTATTCGGCTTTTAAATCTATTTAATAAACTTTGTAAAAAAGAATAACAATAATAATTAACAATATGTAAACAGCTACAATTTAGAGCCGTTTAGGATGCTTAAAAACAGACCTTCACTAACCTATATAAACTTACGGATATTCAGTAGGGGTACACAAAAAACTCTTCGAAAATGTTACATTTCACTCTCACTGAACGTGGTAAGCCAGTTTTAAATAATAAAGATTATTAATTAATTATAAAGATTAAAAAACGAGAGCATAAAACTCGGAATGAATGGCGTTATCGTGATAGAAGTTGCACAAATTCAATATCATTATGTTCTTAAGACAAATTAATTATTCGTGAAGAAACAGACCATACATACACACTGAATACAAATAAAGTTATTATTGATGATGATATTAGCCGAAGAAAGAAGTAAGCAACTCTTGAAGAACAAATCTTAAAGAAATTATGCCAAAAATTGGGGGAAACTTACTCCAGTTTTGTGAAAGAATGGAGTGATTTTACTCTGATTTTGGAAAACTTTGTTTGAGACTTTTACGGTTTTGGGGTAGATTTGCTGTTTTCTCCAATCCTTGGCCATCTTTGCTAGAAAAATGCGACAACATCGGGAAAGCTAGAGCAAGATGGAACACCTCCTTCTCAAAGACGGACAGGTTGAAATTCCTGCTTGAAGTATTAGTTGACAGACTTGGACTTTTTTTTTTGGTGTTTTTTATCAAGTCCAGGTGGAGTCCAGTTAGAATCTGTCATAAACAAGAATGAAGTTAGTGTAATTTTAAACCAATTGATCTCTTTTTTCGTCAAATACATATCTAATGGGGAGGGAAGAGTGACTAAACTTTGTTTATCGTCGTATATGATTATGAGATCTGTCCACTTGATTTATTGAGAAGACGCAAAAATAATTAGTGTAGTAGTTCTGTTTCCGCTATAAACTTGACTGGACTAATTCGACAGAACAGTCTAATGAATAACAATGAATATTGTATCTTTTCGTTTTTGAACAGCTCTCACACTATATGAAGGAACAATAAACGCCACCACTGATTCAAGAAAAACGTTTTAAAGGACGAAATGAGAAGAGACGAATTGAGAAATCAATTAGAGATGAATCGAGAGGACACCGATGAAAAGTACAATATCCGTTTTTATTATACATCCCTATACACTGTATAATAATTAATAGTATTGTGAGAGAGCAAATATTTAAAAAAAACTAGGACTCACGTTTATTTACCCATTTGCCAATGTGACAGACAAAATTTAATAGAAAAATATCTTTCAATGCTTTAGCAGCAATAGAATGGAGCCAAATGTCATATAGAATGTATGGTTGCCCATCAGTATTTACCGACTATTAATGTCGCTTTATTTTTCACAGTTTATATAAAATATGTTTTATTCGATTTGTTTGTTATGTATGGCTTGAATAAAAAGTATACTATTTAGAAAAAAAGACAGATTTTTTAGTAAAAATTCAGTTAACATTGCACAAATAATTAGCAGATTCGACTGCAGTAAGTAAAAAAAATTTATAACTCATCTTTTTGAAGATCATTCTAAAGTAAAATATTTCTACATTTATCTCAATAACGAGCTGTAGTTAAAAACAGCAACCAGGTTCTAATTGTCTATGAATAAATTTCAGCAATCATCTCGTGTCTTGGTCATTTAATTTTATCTTAACATTTGTGTTATAACTGATTCGAGATACTCATAAAATCATGGAAAATATTGAATTTTTAAAGATTCAATCTTCATCACTTTAAAGGTATAAAAGAAAGTATGTTAATATCGCCTACGGAAATTTACTCATAAATATAATTCTTTTCAACCAATTTTTATTCTTTAAATCTATTAACTATTCGATATTAATCTTTGCCATAAAAAATTAAAATTAGAATATTCAATATTTAATTATAATAAAAATTTTCATACAAGTACCAATAAAAAAAATTTTGTATTTCCTGCATTTGACTTAAAAATATGAAACAACACCGAAAAAGAAATTTATGCACTTAATTAAAAGCATAATATGCAAAAAGAAATTGGACATTATAAAAAGTTTTTATTTTTTATTGTGTCTAAACACATGACGAATGATTATTATTCAATCACCTTTTCTTTTTACTTTTCTTTTTGCCCTCTGTAGTGAACATACATACACATAATAACAATGTCATGCTATTCTTTTCTAGTGCTTCGTTTTTGACAATGGCAGAAGTACTACTTAAATTTGTTTCAATTAAAAATGAGAATGTCGATAACAAGCATAATTCTATAATACTTTCGTCAACGTCGACGATTAATGAAAAATCGAATATATCTCAAACAGAAAAGAACTCTTCATCGTACACCTTACCAATTATATCCGTAACAAGTACGTCTGATTTACCAATATTGAATTCAATTTCTACAGCGAGAAACGCAGAGGATAAAATTAAATATCGTCTCTCACCGTTAAAAAAGAAAATGTCGCCGGATGTTGTACAAACGCCAAAACGATCTGATTGTAGGAAAATAGCACGATCAAACACGTTTTCTGTACACCCACAGTCACAAACAAAACCACCAACTTCATACTATCGTCAAGCACCAATTGCAACAACAGCATTTCGGCCAACAACTGTTAATTGGCGGCAAATTGCTGCCACATCACCGACACGTCCGCCCTCCACTCAATATCTCTATATTATCAGTTCATCAACACCAAATGGTCAAATCACTTGCACTAAACCATTGACTCAACGTAGTCCTTCTACAAGACACGATGAAGCGCACCAATACCATGAAACAACGTACTCAGATAATTTTCAATCATCGAGCTGTATCGAACATACATATTCATCAAATCAAACAATGGCTCAATATGGACATTTTTTAGCTTATTTAAGACAAAAATCTGTGGCAAGGATAAAAAGAAAAAAGAAATATTCAGACACTAATTCGAATAATGAACAAGATATTGAAACACCATTAATAAACCTAAAACAACAACAACAGATACTGCAGCAGAAACCAAAGTTGTCCATATCAACTAGTTTAGCGAATAATTCTAGTTTATTGTTTAGTGACTTTAGTGTTCCCATTATTAATACCGGGAAGACATCATCGACGTCAATAATAGAACAGCGGAATAACATGAAAAAAACTGCGGACAAACTTCCATCAACTCCATGGCGTTTAGAACTAAGACGAAGCGCATCGTCGATTATTGATACTAGATATAGTATTAGTAGTAATCAAATTAAACCCTTGAACGAGATGTCTAACTATTTGACTATCAATAAAGATGCATCACTAATAACTCCATCAAATTCGATTGTCGATGAACCAATGTCAGAAAAACAGGAGAAGAAGACGCATGAGTCTTGTTATGAGCTTCAACTTGCTGGTGACAGTTTATCATACGTTTATGTTAGTGATAGTGGAATCAAATATGAAGGAGAATTGCTCCAATCAAATATTGCCTAATGTGAAAAACCTGATCCCTTTTGGGCTGAAGCGACTCAGATATTTAATTGATTAAGATACGCTTAAACTGTTAAAAACCTTCGCTTTCTTTCAATAATTCCGTGTTCTGTGAATATGATGCAGTATATAATGCGTCCGCTAATCATTATACATTAATTACTTTTGAAACAAAAGAGGCTATTTTTACAGCATTTTCTAATTTTACTCTATCTTATTCGTTTCAATCAATAAATTTTTACAAAAATTTGGCAGTGAGTGTATCCATGTGAAACCTACCGCGGTATACAAAAGTGTCGGGCAAGCTCATCCGATAGACCATGGAAAATGATGAATTTTGGCGAAAATCGCGGGTCTCCATCTAATGCGAGATACCATCACTTTAAGGTGCGCACAATGCAAACTTGCAGCAAAACGTTTTTGAACTTATTATATATCCTTGAATAAGAGAGCATTTCGAGCTGATTAAAAAAGTGTACTTTTTAGGTTTTAAAAAGGTGTTTTGAGAGTGAAAAAGTGAGAATACTTGAAGGACATGAAACGTTGAAAAATCCTTTAAATTCAAAAAACGATCAATATCGGAGTCGCAGACAACTATACAAATTTAAAAAATATTTTTTCTTATTCAGCGCTGAAAACTGAATAGAAAAATGGTGCTTGATCCTATCTAGTTCTTTGTGTCAAGGTATGGAACCGTCGTATCAATGACATTGTATCCGCCGTGAGTCCAGCTTTAAAAGTATAACTTAATTATTTTTAAACATTGTTTCGTTCCTGAGAAAATTTATTTCTTCTAAATCAAAGGCGAAAAAGTCGAAATTCTGCCCTTAATTCTCAATTTTCTCGATCAGAACTGAACTTTTGAACGACTAATTTGACGAATGTGTATTTCTATCCTATCCGACTACTTTAT